TGGAGTTCGGCAGGGAGAGCCTGGAGCCCCGAAGGAGCTGCTCCCGGGTGTGGGCAGTGAGGTCGGGCGCCCGGTGGTGGCCCGCAGAGCCTTGCCAGGCGTGCGTCCGGGGTGTCCACGCGTGCAGCGCTTTGGGCCGGACAGAAAACCTTGGTGAGCAGCATTTGCCCCGGAGTCCCACACCTCTTACCTCCTCTCCAGTCTCGCTTCTTTCCCCTTCCATTCCTTCACCGGTGTTGATAGCAGGTAAACCTGCGTTTAAACTCCGACTCCGCATCTGCTCTGGAGAAACCATCCAGCAATGGTTAAAGCCAGTAATAAGGCTGCGTCACAGACCAGTGGTGAGGCGGGGGATGAACACTAGGTGAGGCTAGGCGCACACTACCAATCGGAGTATTGGACATTTCACTTGAAGTAAAAATAACTATAAGGAAAGACAATAGGACTAATTTGCTTGTCACCACTGAACCTTGAATAAATAATGAACCCTGGAGCCTGCCCATGTAACTCATTCCTGCACCTACACACACAACCTGGACACGAAATAAAGTTATGGTTGTTTCTCACTGTAATTCAGGTGGAGATACTGACAGGAGGGATTCCTCCACAGCCCTACATCCAAACAATTAGTTTGCTAAGCTGCAGCAACAGTACTATAAACTGGACAGTTTGACAAAAAGTTATTAGCTGAAGTTCTGAAGGCTAGAAATCAAGATGTTGGCCAGGGGTGAGTTCCATCTAAAGGCTGTGATGGAGAATCTCTATGCCTCTTCTAACCTCAGGTGGCAGTTGGCAATCTGATGTTCTTTAGCTTATAAGTAAATGCAATTTCCCAATTTCTGCTTTCATCATCTTCCAGTGTGCCTGCTTGCCGGTGCCCAAATTTCCACTTTTTCAGAAATAAAGACAGCCATTCTGGATGTGGATGCACTCCAAGGAGTTCATTTTAATTTGATCATCTGCAAAAGACTCACTTCCAAATAAGGTCATTTTCACAGGTACTGAGGGTTAGGACTTAAACATTTTGAGGAGAACATAATTCAACCCATAACAAGCTGTAATACCCACCACCCAGCGTGTACTAACATGTTGAGAAATTTGTGTCGGCTTGCATTATGAGGCTTCCTGATGAAGGGAGCTAGAAGGTAAAATTGAATAGTACATTTGATTGACATAAAAACAATCTTCCAAGATAATTGGTATAACAGCCTCGTAGTGACCCCAGGCATCATAGAAAATGATAAACATCGTCCCTTTAGTCAGTGATAACCAGCCAGATGAGCAAGAAGTGGAGAAAATTCTGGAAACCTTAGTAATAACTAATATGCTCCAAAATGGAAGATGAGCCCTATAAAAATTAGGTAGTACATCCTAATATCTAGTGGTTGGGTGCTGAAGGGTATCTCTTCCAAAGGTTATATTATTACATCTTGCACTTTCTGCCATTAAGAAAACAAAACACTTGATTCTTGAGCTGGTTCCTGCCTCAAGTTTGGGAGGTAGAGTATTCTACACCTTGGAATACTATCACTTTGGCTTAATTGGGGCAGGGAGTTGAGGGACTGTTAGGAGGAAAAGAGGTAGAAAACTTAGTTTTGAAAAGCATCCAGAACAGGAAAAATATCTGCAATTGATCTGTGTTGCAGGCAGTTTTGTGGACTGAGTATATATCAGTGATTAGTGTGGGGAATGATGCAATGTGGAGTTTCTAGCATGATCCAGTGGAATAGTGATGTGCACTAAATCACAAGTGATTATAGAGAATCACCACACCCTGCCAAATTTGAGTCCCTTTATTGCTGGCAATCAAGAGTGGCTCATGCTCCAAAACTCTCAATGATAAAAAGTGGCTTGCAGGTTTCATTTAAGCAGCTCTTCTAGTTGGGGAGGGCTCAGAGAGAGTGGGAACACAAGTGGAATTTCACAGGAGCAGAACTTTCAAGAAGTTGCAGACTGCTCTACCAAATGGGATGTGGCAGCATCAACTGAGGCACTCGAGTCCAAGGGGGTATGGGGAGGTGACCACCCAGAATTACTCAACTTTACATGATGAGGCACAAAATCAAGTCAGGTTGGCTATTAGAGTGATAATGAAGGGCCCTATGGTTTTTGTCACGCCACCTGGGGCAAAAAAATCAGATGCTTCTGAGGAGGTTTCACACACACACACACACACACGCACACACACAGCTCTGATCAAGGTGGAACACCTGACTGTAAGACACCAAGTGACTATGCGGCCAAAATGGTTCATTATGAATTTAATTCAGCAGCTCATTGGACCAGTTGGACCAGCAAGGTCTCCATGAGGTGAAAGTGGTACATTAAAGATTGAGCATGAAAATCTATAGAGGTTGCCAAGCAAGCAGCAAAGCAGTTGCAACCTCCATGGTATCCACTGTTGTTAAACCCAAGACTCCAGCCTTTCACACCTGTGACCATAACATCCAATTGACAGAGGAGAAAAAGTCATTAGCCTGTTTCACAGATGGGTTGTCTGTGTATGTTAGAAAAATAGGAAGCACTTACATTAAGCCACACTTGGGTGGCCTTAGAAGACTGTGGAAAGGATTAGGCAGACTTTCAAATAGCATCTAGGCATACCTTCTCTGTGAAGTGGCCCAAGGTAAAAATAAGAAAAAAACAGGGCCAGGGATTTAGCTCAGTGGTTCCACCACCTGCCTTGAAAGTGCAAAGTCTGGAGTTCAATTCCTGGTACCAAAAAAAAAAAATAAAGGAAAAAACAATTTGAAGTTGTGGACAAGGTGGTTGACAAAAATCATGTGACTAGAGGTATTGGGATAGGCACCAAGTGTGATGATCTTTGTGTAAATGCTAACGCCAACCAAAGAGCATCTATGAAAAAAGTATCACATAATCAAATAACCAAGTAACAAAGTGACTCAGCCAGTTCACACTCTACACTCTTTTTTTTTTTTTTTTTTGTTCCCAGGGATCAAACTTGAGTCCTTGTGCTTGAGAGGCAGGTGGCAGAACCAGTGAGCCAAATCCTGGACACTGTTTCTTATTGGCCTTCTCATTAGTACTGTAATGAGTACATAAACAAAGTGCCCAAGGTATTGAATTGGAGATTATTCATGGGCCCAACAGCACTGGTTTTCTGGTCAAAGGTGATATAATCCTCTCCCCTGCAAATGAGTACCTAAACTACAGCAAAAGCGACCAAAGCTAAGCTCTCAGGAAAGAGTGCAGTCAAATTCACTATATTGGAACTCTCCCACTGGAATTGTTCCCATTTCCCTTGAAGGAAGTAGTGGTTCATTTGCAAAAGAATACTCATTCCAGATATTGGTTTGCCTTTCCTCCCTGTCAGTCAGCAAGGACTTGAGTGTTTGTTCCACTGACCCAGGATACCATATAACATTACAAATGGGATTCACTTTATGGCCAAGAAATGTAGGAGTGCATTATACAATGTAGAAAGTGCAGTGACTATAGAACCTACTTCCTGGTGGAGCACTAGGACAGCATGCTAAAGGCACAACTTACCTGTCCGGTAGGTGTTCAGGTGCACACTTGGGCAGGTACACTGTAAAGATGGAGTGGTAAATGTAGGATGCATTAAATTCAAGACCTTTATATGGCATTGTATTCCTAATCAAAAGATAACATAGACCTGGAAGCCCAGGATTTGGAACAGGAGTTACCCCACTTCTACCACTACTAGTGACCCATTAGGGAGGTTGGTCCTTTCCTGTCCTCCCAGGTTTAAATTGCAATGTTATAGATCCCAGCCCTCAAACAGGACACTCACCAAGGAATGCACCTGTGCTCCACTGGACTACAACCTATGGATGAGATCTAGGAACTCTGGTGTCTTTGCATCTAGAAACCAGGAGGCAGAAAGTGGCACGATTATCATGACAGTGGAAGACTAACTAGAGCTTTTACATTCAATATGTAATGGGGAAGGATATTTGTGGGAGTCAGGTGATCCATGGTGGTGCGTCTTGGTACCCCTTTACCAAATTTTGACTGGGAAACTAGGGATCTATTGTGCACTTGCCTTGCTTCTTGATTCCCAAATTTTGCCACCTGGCAGCAGGGGAGGGAGTATGATATGTGTATTGCTGGTTTTAGGCATGCACCATTAGATATCTAAAAAGTACCAATAAACTCAATGAAAAAAAAATCAGCCATTAACAAATGTGGTGGGGCTGTGGGGATAAAGGAACCTTTCAATCTGCAAAATGTGATTTCCAAGCAGATGCTGAAAGGTAGCTTTCAGTTGGCTATTATTGTTAGGGCAATCACTTCTAGCAAATAGGGTAAATGGTAAAACCAGTGAATTCAAGCTCATTCCTGTGCTTTTTTTCACTTTAAAGTGCTTTTTTTCACTTTTTTTCACTCCTACCAGTGAGAGGCAGTGTTACATAAAACTACAACAATTAATAGGCACTCTCTGAGTCCAAGAATGATGTACTGGCAAAGGTACTGATAAGAAAGCCCATTTATACCTGGAGCATGTTCTTCAGGACAAATCACTGCCTCTTCTGTGATGGAAAGAACTAGGACACCACATCAGGATTTCAGCACTGGCCTCTGTTGTCAGCAGTTCAAGTATTCAGTACTGCAGAGGTCAGGGAAAGCCTTGATAAGGGGAAGTCTGCATTGTGAACCAACGATAAGCTTCCTTCCACGCCACTGTTGGCCACTTTTTGCAATTGTTCATTCAGAAGCTACCATGTTGGCTAAAAAAAGATGCTGACATTCACAGGCTATGTCCTTTTGTCCACCTAGTAACATTAGAACACAAGCTCTCTTCTGATCATTTATGTGGAATTGTATATCTTCACATTGTCTATTTTGGAAAGTTTGTTTATATGCCTCTCCTGTGAACTTTTAAAAATTTTTGTGTAATTCTTTTCTTTCTTGACACACACATGAATGGATATTAAAATGTTCACACAGAAAACTTGACCCCAACCAAAAATGCAAAACAGCTTCCAGTGAGCTTAGATTTCTTGGTATATTCCTCCTCTCCCTAAAGCAGAACTAACACATTGTCCACTTATACGCCCACGTCTCTGACCCAAGCTAAGGGACTAGAAAAAGAAACTCAGAACAGTCCCAAGTAAATATGGGAAGCCATAGTGGAGAACCTAAAATTTCTCAGAATGATTTTAAATGCCACTAATATTACCTGGTGTGTGTGTTTGTGTGTGTGTGTGTGTGTGTGTGTGTGTGTGTGTGTTTCAGTATAAGTCCAAATTTCACAAGCATCTTCAAAGGCAGAATTACCCAGGAACACAAGTATGGCAATAAATCCAATAG